TATTACCCATCCCGGGGCTAACGTGTTCACCACCGACACCATTTGTGTCCTTCGTTTCGCCTGTCTCTCAGTAGTTCTGTCAGTCACTGGTATCAGCAATCACCCGTCAGCGAGATTGACTGGGTGCCCAAATCGGTAATCAACCACATTAAGCTGAGGGTGTGGTTATAATCACAATCTTAACCTTTTCATTTACTGCCTATTCTTTTTAATGGCAGGGGGTGTTAGAAATATAACTTCTATGGTGCTGAGATATTTGCAAAACTCCGGACCACAGGTGTCCGCGTCAGCCCTCGGAAAAGGTAATAGCGGTTCGTTCTCCACCGCAGACACCTGCGGTCCGGAGTTTTGCAAATATCTCAGCACCATAGAGGTTATATTTCCAACGTACTATGCCATTAAAAAGAACAGGCAGTAAATAAAAAGGTTAAGATTGTGGTATAGAAACGATTTCCTCCCTCCACTACATTATAATATTGCTCAACGCTACAGAGTAAACCATATCTTTGTCTTATAGAGAGTTGTTTGAAAGTGTAACTACCTCTTGACTATAATTTGCATAAATGGGGACTTACTTCGGATATATGTCGACATGTAAAGTCCTGTACCAACGAGATCTTTTCAGCTATCGTTCGATATAATTCGCTGTTTTCCCGATGAGCAAACAGCAGGTTGTCATTTCACTTTTTATTCACACAAAAGCTGACGGTTCGGCGGATTTCGCTTTCTTCCGAGCTTGAAGAGGTCAAGTTAACCGAGATTTAATCGGCAAGACACCACAACCAAAACAGAACAATCAAGAAAAAGGATGTTTAATCTCACTGAATACGAAGACAGCTTCTTCGTGCACTCATCGTTCTCCACTATTCCACTGAGTATTCCAAGTGGAGACCATTCGCATAGAGTTCACACGGATGTGCCTGTCAAATATTAAAATATCAATGTAGATTGATTTAGATCCATTGATAACGTAACACTCCATTGTTACCAAATATTTATTCGGCTAACGTTTCGACGTCTTCATCTTCCTCAGAGCCGATAATTTCATTCCACGTCCGAAGTGCTTCGTACTCTCGATGTAGTGCCTTCGTCGCCGTATCGACTCTTATCTTCTTCAGTGGAACACCGCTCATATGATGCAATTTCACCAGGCGATGCTCTTTTATACAGGGTGATTGGTGTTTCCATGATTGTCTGGTGATAAAAGCTTGTTTTCGGACGACTATAGACCACAGGCTCTGAGGAAGACGTAGAGGTAGGAACGTTAGCCGAAAATATATTTGGTAACAACGTCGTGTTAGCTTATCAGTGAAACAAGGTACATTGGTCATTTACACTGTAGCTTGAGGAAAGTTGGTTTACAACGATGTTAATATATCAGTCAAAAATATTACCTAAGACCTGGCGTAATAACGAGCCCTTCCTCTTTGCGGTTCATGCTTGAATTTATGCAATTTTGTGTTGTACATGGACAGTCATACAGGCGATTGTGAACTAACTGGGGTCTTGGAGTGGTCGATGGTATTTCAATCACTGTTGCCAAATTGTCTAGACCGACGTTTCTTACGCAATGTTTTATAGCCGCACTTTTTCGTGTACAATGAAGGCCGAGAACGGAACCTCGTAATCGCTAGGGTTGTCGTTTGGGGTTTGGGTTTTCCTCTACAACTATCACGAGGAGCTGCAGTTTCATAGCCACTAGAAATGGATATTTACTGCGTTAATTTCAGGTATCGTTCCTTGTTCTCTCTTATTGAACACACAATGTTGGCTGTCTGAAACATGTTTCTTATATGCACCACTTTGTGTGTGGGGAGTGAGAGAAGAGGTGATGAACCATTACGCTTTTACTTGATTTTCGGTTCCACTTCATGATGTGGCTGTTTTCGAATAGGACAATTTGAACTATCAGAAATGGAGGCCACTTTTCCTCCGACTTCTCTCGGGAAAACTTAATGTACTCACGTTTCATTCAATAACTCCAAACACTTGTTCACTATCTCTTGTGTGGAGCAGATGACAAAGCAATCATCTATATGTCTACAGTAGTATAGTATAGCAGAGGTTGGTGGTCGATTACTAGAGCTCACACTAGACATAAAGGCAATGGCAAGTCGCTGTTGCACTACCAAACTTCTTATTTACGTGAAATTCTTCCCAGACCATCTAAAGATTGACCAGTTTAGGCACTACTTCAAGAAATGCATAAACTGCTGAATTGGGAAGACGTAAATGATTATTGTTCTTCCGTGTTTCATGAGCTGTTTGAGAATGGCTAGTAGAGCGGTGTCATTCGACATATCTGCATAAAGCGCAGTAGCGTCTAAGGACTCCATTACGTATGCGCTATTAAGACGTGCGTTACGCAGACGATCGAAGAATACCTGAGTGCCCGTAGGAAGAGCTAGAATATGTTTCAACAACTGGTTAAGTTTTAGGGTTAAAAACCATGCTACTCTATCCGTTGGTCCATTTGCAGAGCTAATAAAGGGTTTAACGTTGAATAATGATGGATCGATAGAAGTAAGATTATCAATGTATGCTAATTTATAAGTTTTGCCAAACTTGAGCTAAGAAATAACTGGTGGTTTTGAACTAGTCGCTTTTATCAGTTTGACCATTTCTTTCTTGAATTTTCGGTATTGAATTTTAAATTTCCTCTCAGAAAATAGGCAATAGAGGGAAGCATCTTCACGATGCTTTTTCGTTATCTTAACATCTAACTGACGAAGAATTACTGCAAGCTCTCAACCTTTATCACTAATAGATAGTCTAATGTTTCCTACCCTTACCGTTTCATGGGTCATAGAAGTTTGGCGGAAAAACCGTCTAGCTCAAGTCCTGACTTTTGTCGACTGTAAAAAGCGTTTGGCAGAGTCGAAAGGAATGCAACCTTTTCACGGTTCATCGACCAACCAATGGACCCATCCTACATAAGAACTTTATGGGAGTGTTATCAGAACTTACTTGGATACTTGGACGATCCGTCTTCACTGGTTTTAGGGCCCCAGTACAATTCCAATTCGCGTCTCTCGCGTGGAGTCGTCATCCATAGTGGTGGTCTGCTTCGAAAGTGATGTAAGCGATGAAAATTCTGTAATCCCGAAATCGTTACCATCTGCAAATGCAGATTGTTGACGTTAGCAACTAACAAGTTTGCCCGCAATTTAGGTCGTTCTCCAAGGGGACGCTTACACTTTCTTAGAGTCCATCTCACTGTTATTTTTCTCCACCTATCACTTACTCTTCAGCTCTTCCTATTATGTGACTGATTTATCTGTTTTCCGCCATTGATGGATATTGCGCTGGATACCGAAGACATGGGAGGTTCCCGAGATCAGAGTTACACATTCCGGCTATACGTCGTGTGCGCCGATCGGATGCTAGAAGACACCGTTCAAGTGCTCCGTGGATGGTGAGCGGATTATTTGACGTAATTGAAGCATCAACCCACTTTTCTGTTGCATAACAGAAAGCTTGGAGGAGTGCTGAATCGAAAAAGTGAACGCGGATTTTCGGGTCCTTCAGTTTGTTAGTGGCCTCGATTAGAGGCCCGAATGCGGCACATGCTGCTCTCCTTCCTGTATCCAGTTCCTCCTTCTTGTTGTTCTCCATGTTCACTGAACGCCTATGGTACACGTACGAGGTGGTATCTGTAATCAGAGAATCAACGGTTCGATTTGTTCATCTTCGCACCATAGGTTCATCATGAATTGGGTACTTATGCGTAAGCAAATCTTCCTTTTCACTTTGTTGAGTTTCTTGAACAATGTCTCTGCTTCACTGTCATTCCTCTAAAAGATGACGATGTCAGTGCGAAACGAAGATTTGACAGAAATTTCTCATCAATACATATGCCACTTCGACAAAGGTTAGGACTAGAGGCAGGTGCTATTCGCGACAAACTTCGATGACCCTAGACACAGATGTGTTCTCTGCAGCAAAACCCTTGCCGAAATCCTACTTGCTTCACTGATTGCGTCTAATCCAAGGTGCTTGATATGAGTGAGCGAATAATCGTAAACAGCTTGTAGCGCACACTTAACAAACAAATTGGATGGTAATTACGAAGATCTATTCGGTCATCCTTCTTGAGTAGGATAACCGCGCGAACTCCCACCTCTCTGGTATTTTGTCTTTCTGAAGGTAAGATGTCATATGGACTGCGAAAAGTGAACGGCTGTCCAAGTGTCCAAGTGTATACGTATATTCGTATTCGCGGAGCGATAGATAAATCCTGCTCTACTTCCCTTTAGCGCTTCCAAACTTGTCAGGTTCTAGAGTTATTGAAGAATCATTGTTTATTATCATAAAACAGCTTTGTTCATTATGTGCTGATAGCAAATGGGGGCGGATTAATAAATTCTGTATTCGACATGAAATTGGGCGTTACGCGTTAAAATGGAACAGTATCGTTGATTATTAAATGAAATACGTTCTCTTCAGAGAGTGTTCACTAACATATTACTGAGATTTCAATTCATAATTAGAATTGAACGTGGTAAATGCCAGATAGGAAAGGAAGGAAAGGAGGAAAAAAAAAGAAAAGAATAGAAAAGGAGACAAATTGTCTTCTCGTCACCGTCACCATAACTCTTTTTCGAACGGCACTATGTGTTAAGAACAAACTTTGAAAAAAGGAACAAAGCACAGAATGAAGTACATAATTCTTACCTAGCACTACACAGTTCGCTTAGATACACTTCACATATACATTTATATGATACATGATACATTACAAAGCCATTGAAATACTCAAGAAGAGCACGACCGTTAAAGGTAAAGATGTTTGTATTTTGACAAAATACTAAGTCATTACATGTCAATGATGGACTAAAGAATTCAGTGGAACAAAGTCCAAAACAAAAGAAAGCTTGGAGCTGATAAATTTTAAAATTCATATAAACTCGACAAATTTGATATGGATGCATATGTTAAAGGTACGAAGATAGATCGTGTTCGACAGTAGAGCCGTACTAGACCATACATCGCATTGTCATCTATTTTCGAGTGTAGTACTTATCCAGTATGGATGCCGGTATTGCCTTCAGCATCTCTCTGGGAAACACTCGCAGCAGATACCATGCGAGATCCAGTGACTCAGTGATAGTGCGTCGTTCATGTTGTCCTTCATGTGAAAGAAATTTAGAAAAAGTGAAATGATATTGCAGGCGGGCTTAGAAAACTTCCAGATGTAATTGCGATTTTGTGGATTGAAGACGATTAGTTAGAAAGTGAGGTTTTGGATTCTATAAATCTTTAAAGAAAGGATTTACTCTACTTTTTTCTATTTCGATCATCTCAATAGGTTAAGTAAATTAGCAGTAAGTAGCAAGTTAATAACTAGATAATTCGCCTTTTGCACAAATTAGATCTTAATGGAGCTGAAAAGTTTTATTGAGTGTCTACGGGTCGCTTTGAGTGCCGCCGAGATATCACGACATTCGGTGTCGGTCGAAGTAGCGATCAAATTTCTTCAATAGATAAAGTTCGCACTAAACTTGATCAACGAGTAAACCAGCACTCGAAACCAGCCCTAAATTTATCTGTGGATGTGCGATCACAACAGTTACCAACAAGTAAGCAAAAATAACGATGTTGTGAGCTCTCCATTTGAATCCTCTCACTTGCATTAATGCGGTTCTTAGTTCGGCGATATCGCCGAAACGTCAGCTAGACAACACATTTCACCTTCATCGACAAAACTGGCCAATAAGGATATTGCTTACAAGAAATTTAGTTTAACATGATAGGAAGACAAGATGCCACAACGCAGTACAGGCAATCATTGCTGGGGGTTGATAAAAGACAAAGGACAAAGGATGAAGCGTTTGATATTGATCTACTCTTTAAAGATGGCCAACGTATTGGACTCCATTCGTAATATCAGAGAGGTGGTCCAATGCATGTTTCACCTATAGAGTGACTGGCACAAGCTTACCGATGTACCAAGTTCTTTATCTTCTTTAACAGTTGTGGTACCAATTTGCCGACACGGGGGACTGGAAGGTTCGGTTATCTCGGAGTGCTAGATTGAACCGATGATCATTTCCTGTTAATATATTTATTTATATGATCTTATAAACTGATCTTCTTAAGCTGACGTCCTGTACTGCGAAAGACGTCTTACCACAGGGCTGCACACACGCCAGCTTAGTTACAACGTTTTACAATTCACGGCCCTCAACCGCAGGTATCTTTTAGCGAGCTAATACAGTTTCATCTAACGACTGGATCGACAACGTCTAATCGTTTCGGCATATATGCTACTCAAAGTCATGTGGAACACATTTGTAAAAATTCATGACTTCATCTAACGACTCTAGGCAGCGAAAAATCCACCTCTTTGGAATCTCGATGGGAATCCAGTCCAGATTTTTGAAATGTTCGTTGTACAGTTCGTTAAACAGCTACGTCACACCAAGTTTTTTTTTCTAATTTGTATCTGGCTACATATTCGCCAAGGTGTACATTCCATACAAATCACATCTGCCGCAACGATTTCTGGTATGAGCTAAATTAGGGTTATTTTCCCTAATGGTGTATTTTGGTGCACAGAACCTTCTTCCCACACAGTTATAATGCATCGGTGGCTTATCCGATACAGATGTTGTGGCGCATGTGAACCTTGCAAATCTCCATTCTACAACTAGAAATGTACAAGGCATTTTTTCTCGAACGAGTTCATTAACCGGTAATTGGACAGGAAATTGAATGTAATTTTAGTTTTAACCGGTGCAATAAATCATCCTCAAATGGCTTGCCTCCTTATCGTAGTCGGGTCGAGCTCCTGAGTGTTCTACGAGTAGAGCGGAAATATATCCCTTGGAAGAGTCTCACAAGTTGGGAAAGAGTCTGACGCTTCCATCTGGAAGCACAGCTGGGAGCATCTGGAAGTAAACCAAAACCACGAGACACCACTACCCCAATATCACGTTATTCGCAAGTGGCAAATCATCCTCTGGTGCATGACGGTCGGCGACTACCTGTAGAAACGACCTAAGCGAAGCTCTAGATATACTGACCTCGGAACACCAGAGAACCACATACTACTTAATCAGGAATGCTGGAGAAAAACCATCTAGGGTCGTAATCTCTAAAGTTCGAGTTGCCATTGATATCAAGAAGAGAGGCCAAACTCTAGAACTCTATTCCAATAAAACTAGGTTACTTCGAGGGAGAAACGACAAATTACATCTTCTCGAAGTGCATACGAAATCTTGATTTCAGAAGGAAAAAATCGTAGACCAGTAAAAGAGGTCACAGTCCGATGTACTTGTTGACTGCACTTTACAAGCTGTTCACGAAACTTAACCTTTTGCTCATATCGAAAACCTTTGATGAAGCACAACCATCCGAGGAAGCAGGATCCCTACAGGTATTCTGGTGCATAGAAGACATCCGAATCTCTTCATGGGTAATAGAATTATGCATGGCGTACCATTTACTTCTTTTCCTAATCTTTATCAACTACTGAAAAGGGTTTGATAGCGTCGAAACGAATGAAGGGTGTATATACCCATATAATGCGGGAAAAATCCTGTATAATGTTCGTTTTGCTGATGACATCAACATCTTTTTGGAGAGTAGCTGTGAAGCTGAGGCGATGCTCAATGCGTTCGACGAAGCGTGAGAAAAGATTGAACTACGCATAAATAGGGCGAAGACCCAGTACACGAAGAACCAATGAGGGGAAGTTGAAGAAGTAGAATTGGATGGTTCTCTGGTTACAGAAACCACCTCGTACGTGTACCTTAGGTGCTCAATGAACGTGGAGAACAATATGAAGGAGGAATCATATGGAAAAAGGAGAACAGCATGGGCCATATTAGAGTCTCATGGAGAAATCATCAGCCAACGAACGAACCCGAAAATTCGCAAGCACCGTTTCGACTCGACTGTTTTCACAGTGCTCTGTTACGCAGCACAGGCTTGAGCTAATACTTCTATTAAGTCGAAAATTTTGAATACTACCCATAATGAGCTTGAATGGTGCATTCTGAAATTTGACCGGCACTTGCAACGTCAAGCCAGAGTACGTAGCTCAAATCCTCGAAAATTATCCCACCTTGGGAATCCAGGAAAACGCACATCAATAGTGAAAAAACGGAGGGTCCTGTCATATAAGAAAACGAAAAGATGACAGATGGGAGAAAAAAACAGTGGAATGCACTCCAAGAGAATCGTCCTTTGGAAGACCATCGATACGATAGGCGGACGTGTTTGGAGTCGACCATCTTCATTTGCAGATGAGAACGATTTAAAGATCATAAAATGCGTCTCGCAGACGTCGTGATCTTCGAAGGAGACCACCACCATGGAGGCCGATTTTGCGAGAAAGAAACGAATAGAAAATGTGCTCGGGTCCATGCTACTCGTGAAGAGGCGCCATTCAAGTATTTAAGTGTATTGAATTATAGTTATTGTATGGAATGTGAAGGTATAAAATATACCAAAATGGACAGAGCATAAATTAGAAAACACTTCCAAACACTGTCATCAGTGTGTTTGCATGGTGGGCCACAGCAGCGTACAGTAAATAGTATCACATGTAGCATTCGTAACCATACTGTGGTAGAAAAAGGTCTCTTCTACAACCCTATCACGTCCACAACTTCTTAATTCCTCTATTTATTGAGAAACTACCGTCTAATTTCGCAAAACCATGTATCCCGTATCAACCGAAAATAGGGGGTGCCCCGAGCAGGTTGTGTAGCTAAAAGCCGCGCCTCGCAATCTGTTAAACTGATTCACTAAAAGTAGACAGAGATTAGGAATATCAAATTATTAGGCAGCGCAAGAAGAAAGCCCGAATGAAAAATTTAGGGTAGTAGATTCGACTTGGAGAAAATATCTTTAAAAAATCTAACGTAGAAATGTGAAGAATGGACCTCAGCAAAGGTGTACACAGAGAACGTGGTGGGTTAGCTAATTTATTGTGAACGTTCGTCCATTATTCTTTTGATTCCACGTATTACTACTGATACTTTTTTCAAAATTTCTTCTTTATACGACTTGTCCTTCGCATCTATTGTGCGGTTCCCAGAACTTCTCACATTCGATTCGTTTCATCGTACCCATCATCCACGAAGGTCTTCCAATTTTTTACGTATTGTTTCGATTTCTGTTTGAGTGTTTCATTTCATCATGAATGTCGTAGGATGCTAGTCGAATCGATTCTTCCTGGAGTCCTGAGAGTTCCGCTCTACAGCGTTCCCATTTGGATTGCAGAGAATGGATTCTTCTCAAACAAGTCTGGTACAAATTTCACGACTCCGGAGGGATGACAGCTTTGACAAGCCCGAAGTGTTATTAAACCAGCATCGTGCTCGTAATGACCGCCATCGCTACCACTGTGCTGTGCTACCCACTCTTTATTATTGATACAATGGAAGAAAAACAGAACACGTGTTTTTTTTACCAATAACCTAACACAACGTTGACAAAAAAAAGAGCAGAATACGTTCGAGGAAGATGAAGCAAGCTTTTCAGTGTCTAAGAATACGAAAACTCATCTTTTGGGGAACGCTTTCTATCTTTCCGGAAAGCTTGTGGGAATGCCCTCTTACTAGGGAATCCGTGTAAGGAAAATAAAACCACATATAACTTCAATGATGCTGAGATATATGCAAAACTCGGACCGCAGATATTTATGATTGACCCGCGTGGTGTGGTGGTGAACGCGCTACTCCCCGGAAAGGACAATAGCGCGTTCGTTCCCCACCGCATACACCTGCGGACCGGAGTTTTGCAAATATCTCAGCATCATTGAGGTTATACTTCACAATGTATACCCTGCCGTTAAAAATAGTAGGCAGTAAATAATAAGTTAAAGCCACATATAATTGAAAAAATAAAAAAGCTCTTTTTTTGTCACAGTTTTTTCAACATCCAGAATTTTCAAAGGCCTCATCATAAATATCTGGAAAGTAGAATGAATTTTAAAAGAAAACGACACTTTGACACCTCTGCTTTTCGTTTCGTCTAATTTCTATTTCTAGTCCTTCCGCAAGATATTCTTTGTGTGGTTACTTTGAAGAAAGAACTAAACTTAGCTTCATCAGTACGTAATATACGAAGGCGTAGTCTCACCCTGAGTTGCGAAATTTTTATCATATCTTTTCAGAAACTCCAAATAAAGCAAGTTGTCGCTCGTAAGAGCCTCGGAGCCTACCTTAAAAATAAGAACTGATAATACTGCAAAAATTTAGCGCTGAATTTTTAGTGACATCAAGAAGTATATGCTTATAGCTACCAATGGTGCATCCCTGGAGGGTGTTCTTGGACGTCAAGGTGCCATCTACAGTGTAGCAGTTCGTTCAAACGGCAGGACCACCCAGGCTGAAAGTCTCGATACTACCCGCCTTGAAGCTCAGCCAAAAGCAAAGTATGCTAGAGTCTGGCATGTTTCCGCACGTGAGTAAATATGAATCTTATATTATCCCAGAATCAAAGTAAAGTGATAGCACTGCAACATAGCAACGAAGCATTTATGAGACAAGCCAAGCTGAGGTTTTGTAAACATAAAGGCAAATTTATGACGAACCACACAGAACCTCTAGCTGATTTTGTTATCGACTACGTATACATTGAAGACAAAAACTGATAGTCTAGAAGAATAGTACGAAAAGACCAAGATTACGAGTTGAGCAGAGGAGAGATGTTCAGAATCATACCAACTACCTCCACGTGTCACCAACTGATCTCATCTGGTCGGAGTTGCTGCTTTTTCAATGGTCTCTTTTCTAAGAAACGGTACAATTGTAGGAAAGGTGGAATTTAATTACTGTCGTCAATGGCATTTCCGAGATATGATCAATAATGGGCCCGACTAAGCAAATTCCGAGTGAAGAAGCTCAATCCGAAAAACCAAGTAAATGATTGCGGATGGTAATCCAGAGGTAACTCACCATCGTCTTGAGCGCTAGAGTCTCTTTTGCTGCTGCATACAATGCATACAATTGATTCGATACATACGGATGGTCACCTCGTGTTATGCTTTCACCTGAATTTTCCCAATTAAAAAGACGACGTCGTGGAGAATTGTATTCCTTACCTATGGCAGTTTTCATTAGGCGGCTAAGCGAACGGAAAATGTCTATGGGTGGATAGATTTGACGATTCCACATTTGCCGATCAATGTAGACCTGAACTATTCACATGTATATATATATATGCTTTTATATATGCATAAAAGGATAAAGCACTCGGCGTTGATCAATCCCTGAGAGATGCGCCATGCATTCAACTTCATTAAACATCGTTTGGAGATGATTGAATGCAAATATGGCCTTTACAATAACTCGCGGTGGCCTACGGATGTATCGAGCTAATGCTGCTATCCTCCTTGACAAGTCTTGTACCAATTTGCCGACCCCGAAGGGATGGAAGGCTTGGTGGACCATGGGCGCGAAGATCAATTCCACGTGTTTTGCAGGGCGCCTCCGACCACTGTGCCACGAATCCGTCTATATTCGCCTCTTTTCTCAAAATGGGCCTTCCCGCTGCAGCAAGTTCTGCAATCAGTGACGATTCTTTAAAAAAAAGAAAGGTTAAACATTGTGATTTCGACTAAAGCCTCAGCTTAACTGGGTTCAATGCCAATTTGTGCTACGTAGATCGTTCCCGTTGACTGGTGATTGGTGATACCACCGCTAGATATAAAACTCGTTGAGAGGAAAGAAAGGCCTCACTAGTACAGTGGGTAACCTGTGAGCGTCCGGAAAGGATAATCGCGGTTTTGAATATGGTCTTGGGAGCATGTTTTGAAAATATCTCTGCATCATTGTGGCTGTATTTCACATGATACCCTGGCGTGAAAAGTAATTGGCAGTAAATAAAAAATAAACATGGTAGTGGTTCTTTTGAAAAACTGTCAACAAGTCGGATGTTCATGTTGAAAACATGTACAATAGTAACATCAATGAAACTGTCATCTATTACCACGTCAATTCTCGAAAAATCGAGGTAGTTTATCTGAACTTGGAGAAAAGAACTATGAAAAATAACATTTCAACAAATAACACACTTAATCCTCAAGTACACACCTTCGCTCTTCACCTTGTGCTAGCTAACATAATGCCGACTGCTGCAGAGTGGATTATCCGTTGAAAAATAAACTACTATCAACGGATAGTCCTGTCAACAACAACAACCCTGTATAGAAGGCCAGTAGAAGGGTCTGCTTGGCTCATTCGTGCGGTGTTCAACGAAAAAGATCCTGTCTCGGTACGACAAGGAAGATGCCACATCGAGAAAACGAAGAACTGTGGACCACTGACAGGGATCATCGGGTGTGAGGAAAACGAAGACGTCGAAACGTTAGTCGAAATAAATCTATGTATCAACCTCGTGTAAGCTCAACAACACTAAATATACTTTCAACAAAGCTACCAAAGAGAAAATTCGCACCAGAATAACGAACGTCTGAAGAACTTCACATTAGAATGCACTGAATGGAATACTGCGAAGCCAATCTATGTCAAACTCCAGAAGTTTTCCTCTCGGCACCAGATGTTAGAAGCTCTAAAGGAAGATCATATAAAGGAGCTGTCATCAAACGCACTACCTTAATAATCATGCTGGAAGTAATCCGTATTATTCGTATGAAAAAGGAATCCGAAGCTTTGTCTTACTCCAGCCTTCAAATAGTAGGGTAGTTTAACCATGTACTAAGGCCTAAGAGATCAATAAGACAAAGAACGTAATGCATCTCGATGAAAAGATTAACAGTCAGCTACTGAGTTTCACGAGATGTCAAGTGCACAGTGGTCCAATCGACTATGTCAGACCTCTTCGTGTCTTCGCCGGACGCTTCAGAGGTGCCAATTGAAGATGCTCAACAACCGATTTGAGTACGGGTGATCCTTACATTACCAGCGAATAATTTGTGAAGCAAAAGAATCATTACTGTAAAATTGGTTCGGATCTTTCAGCAGATATAAAATGCATGGTTTTTCATAACCGAAATTGGGACTTTGCAGCCAAAACCTGTAAAAGCAGCTCGCAAAAAAGTCATATCATATGAATGATCCGTGCTTGTTTACTTTATTTTATAAATCTCATCCAAAGATCTTCAGTTTACTTTTGCAAATAACTTCCCTACTGCTGTGAGTGAAAGAATAATGAAAGAATGCAGCACACCTGTCCTTCTGTAATGTAGCCGGTCAGGTCAGGAACAGGATGTGTGATATCTGCCAAATATTCAAGAAACCGCTTGTTTATAAAGATGCATTTCAATATAGAAAGAAAAGAAAGAAAGGAAAAACATGAACGCGAATAGTAATGACGAAGGTTAAGAGCAAGAAAACCAAGAAAATTGGAGAAATAAAGGAAGAAAGTCGACTGAGTGCGCATCTTCACATTGTGTGTCCATACTCACCATCATTGGGCATAGTTAGGATCGGAATCTGAGTAATGCTTCCGGCGCGTCCTTTCATTTTCCCGGCTCTTTCGTATATTGTTGCTAAATCAGTATACATGTATGCAGGAAATCCTCTTCGCCCCGGAACTTCTTCACGGGCTGACGATATCTAAATACAGCAACGAAGTCTTCAATACTACTCGGTAATCTGGCGTGCTTATGGAATGAACTTTCGTTACCATTCCGTGGCTATTTAAATTTTTTTCTGGAATATTTTTCCACTTTCAAGATCTCGATCACTGAGGGATGCTCAGCTGCTTAGCGGCAAGTCAACACTACAAGTTCTTAAGTAGAAGCTAGCAAGGTACAGATCCAGAAGCGATTCAACATATGTCGTAAGCGGATTCAAAGAAACTCTTTGTTTCTACTGTGCCGGATTCACACCTTGCACATTTACGGGTTGTGCACTGCATGTGAACTTGACTACATACCTACAATCAGCGGACTAAAAGTACCTACTTGGTTGTTAGGATTGGCTCCTAGGCAAGCTCTTAAGCTCTTCGTCCACTTTGAGAATGCGCCTAATGTTACTCGTGTGGATCCAAATTCCTGCCAAGGAGTTCGGTGCGCTTGGATATTATCGCAAAATGAACATGCGTACTTTTCTTCGCTGTTATTAAAAGAATATCCAGTAGTGTTTTGTTAGTCAAAACGAATAGACTGAGCTGCCAAAATCTCAGTGCCACTCTGGGTTGCCTCTATCTGGAACGACGACGTCAACAGTCTCTCCTCACACATATGTGCACATGAATTTCCACTGAAGACATTATGTTACTGGATGAAAATATTAAGTTCGACATCATTGAACCAGCCAAAACGTGAAGAAATAGCCACTAAACCATGCTTATGATACCAAAGAACTCCTTGACACATGTAACAGCAGAACAGGAAGCGAGGTTAGTACTCACTTAAACAGAAGTTTTGTCACAATGCCGATTCTTTTGAACAATCGACTACTTTAAATATTCGTTTACAAAATAGAATCAAGCTGGAATGGTGCTATGAGAAGACACGAATATTCTATTTACTAGAAGAAGAGTAGAGAAACGACGGATATTTTATTCGTATTTTAGAAAAACTAATGTTGTCAATGGTCAAATTGCTTTATGGGTTAAACTAGGACTATATTCAATAAACTTGCAATAGGAACAACGGCAAAGAAATAGTGATTTCTGTGCACTCGGGAAGCACTAGGGAAAAAAGTTACACATATTCACTATTTCTATTCCTACTGAAAACTGTAGCTTCTGTAAAACAGACATTTTCACAGCAATCAGTTATATGCTGACGTCGCTAAAAGAAACAGTGACCATAAGCAAAGGCTTAGCTGGACACTTAGATGGCCCCTCTTGAAGATTAATGCGGACCCCAACAAATTTTCCACCCACTAATTTCTCGCGCAGTCGTCGCCCATGGTGATCTTCTGCTTCGAAAGCGGCGACGTCATTGAGACACATTCCGCGGTCCTAAAATTGTCCACTTCGGCGGATGCAGATGCATGCGGTGATGCAACCCAGAAACACTTCCACTCATCACCTGGATGGTCGTCCAAGAAGACGCTTGCATTCTCCTGGAGTCCACATCACTGTTCTTTTCGCCTATGTCTCATCTGTTCATCTTATTACATCACCAGCTAATCTGTACTTAACAATCAATGTGTATTCTCCTGAATCACAAAGATGGGATAGGTTTTGAAGAACTCGACCGCGCAATCCGGAAAGACTTTGTGAGTGGCAGTTAAATTTCAGAAGACATCCTTCAAGGGCACTGGTACGTCAAGTTCTTGACGTAGCTAAAGTATCAGACCACGCCCATGATCGATAACGGAGTGTTAGGGGAATGCTAAGTAGAAAATGTGGGTGTGCAGTCTTGTATCTGTTACTGGTCTGTGGCTATCTTGAGAGGCCCGAATGCACTCCACGTTGCTTTCCTTCTTCTGCCTAATCCAATCACCATAATGTTTTTTCATATTCATTAAATGTCAAAGGAACACGTACGAGATGGTCCTGCAATACCTAAGAGTTTTATTCGTTTGCTCTGGCACCAAGGGTTCTTCGTAAACTGGGGTTCCTTCTATTCATGCGCAGTTAAATACTTTTTTCGGTTTCGTTGATCTCATAGATCACGGTCTCTGCTTCAACAATAGTCGAAAGATGACAGCATCATCAACAAGACGAAGATTTGACAGGTTCATTCACTGATGCGTATGCCCTTCTCGTCCAAGTACAACGACTTCGTTATCCACTGCAAATCAGTTGCAAACGGCTTTGGTGAGGTGGTGTCGTATGTCGCACACCGTTTCCTACATGAATGGTAACAGGTCGATCAAAAAACTATACTTTAGTTCTATGGCATTCAGTCAGCTTTTATGTGTAGGACGGATCCAATCCTTGGTCGAAGAGTGTTAAAAGAACTGCATCATTTTCTACGCTGTCAAATGCCTTTCCGTAGTCGAAAAAGACTAAGATAAAGAGGGCTTGGCGGATTCAACAGATCTCTATAACGGGGCATAGTTTGGATGTGGTCCACACAGCAAAACTCCTGTCGGAATCCTGCTTGTTCAACTGGTTGTGCTTCATTTAAAGTCTTCGATGTGCGCAAAAAGATAATCTTTGCAAGTAGTTTGTAGAGCACACTTCACACGCACATTGGGCGATAGTTACGAAGATCTCTTCGGCCACTCTTTTTGCGCATTATTGCTGTGCGCGACCTCCTCCACTGGTCTCAAATTTTCTCTTTCTGAAGGTAAGATGTCATATAGGTTGAGAGAGGCACATGTGATTTGTAGCGTCCAGCTCTAAGAAAATCGACAGTGATATTATCGATTCCTGGAGCTGTGCCTCTCTTCGTGCTCTTTATCGCAATTGGAACTTTGGAGAGCAGGTTTTCTTGCAGTTGGGATTGTGGAACGCAGAAGATTAGTATAGAACTTTTCTGTTATAAATTCCACATTATGGAAGGATGTCGTGATAGCCTAATCCTCGTTCACCAGGGTGGGTAGGAGAACATTATAGTCGCCAAGATCCTGACGGTACTCTTTCAGAGTAGATCGTTTTTGACCAGCTTCTAATAACTTTTTTTTGCCTATACCGATGCAAATCCTCCTGCAAAGACCTTCTACAGCTAGCATTTATCACTATCCGTATTAGGCGTGTTGCAGCACGATCAAGTTTTAGTTTCTTCTCTTTTCGAGCAACTCGTTAACGGTAATGGAGCCGACAAGCAGCTTATAGTCATCATCTAGGTCGGATCTTTTTTTATCTCCCAGTCATATGAGGATTTTATTGAGAACATCGTCGTTTTACATGACTTGCCTTGATTTTCTTGTACGATGACGATTCTTTTCCAACTTATGCCTGAATAGAATCCTCGTACGGAGGAGGTGATCGGTTCCAGTACTGAATCTAGGCACCACTAAGATGGTCGAACATGCACTGTCCTCTTTTCGTGAAAATATGGTCGATCTCCTCCTGAAACGTGTGGTTAGGAGATTTCCGTATCCATTCCATTTTCTCCTTTATTTCAATCTCCTTTCCCAAATTTTTCTATCCTGTATTCATTTTCATCGGTCTATCTTGTTGTGGCATTGAAATATCCAACAATGAATTTATAGGACTTCTGACTTCTCGTTGCGAATTACTTCCTTCAACTGGCTGCAAAACGCGTCCAGTTTGCTCTCATCAGCTGTGTAAGTTAGAGTAGCAGTTGATGACAGTAGTTTTGTTTTGACGCGAAAGTTAGGAGAGTAAGAGTCATCAAGCGCGGTGATAAGACTTCGTTTGAGGTGACCAGATGGGAAATAGAAGGGTGTAGGACAAAGCGAACGCCTCCCACATTTCGTCACTGAAATTTCTCTTCACGAATTGAACGGGATTCGCCATCTATGGTGTATGTTGCTCTTCCCGCGCTTGCTCGGTTCCTTTCCAGTGAGATCCTGTGCAACCGTAGATTCGACTGTCTCTCACCATTTGTCTCAATATTGCACGTCGTTGGAAGGAGCTCTCAATGCGTAGTGTACTGAGTTTTAGGTGGTTGGAGGAGTTTGGAGGTTGGAGTTTTACTGGCTGAGCAATTTGGTTCTCTGGAATTACGAAGTCGGCCTATCTGAAGCTCTCCTGAAGTTTTCACTACCACAGTCAATCATCAAAACTGTTGATCAGCGAGAGATTTGCCACCTTGCATTATTTTGATTCGATACGAGTACGACTGTGATTGCTGGTATTGGCTTACTCTTAGCTGGACTTCTGGATGGAGAAAAAATTTGAACTCCTGCTTTACATCGCAGTCGGACACTCAGTAGCATGCTGCAGCCATTGTGAGAAACTACTGGAGCGAAAGTGATTCGTATCATCTACTAGAAGCTCCTCCTTACGAAACGAAGGGTGAATTTGCTACGTTCAGATAACGAATGGAGTGGATTAATTTCAACACGTACCTGGATTTGGATGGGTACAGAGCAGTTGGTACAAATCGGACTCACCTGAATTCTTTTAGCTACCACTTTTCCTACATAATTCCTCGATATAACACCTGTATTCAGTCGGTAGCTTCTCCAACGCAGATGCTCCATCAAGCATCGTCTGAGAAAATCTTCTTGTCACTTAGACAAAAGAAGAAAATCTACTATACCTTCGAGAGAATCTTCTACTACATGTAATTTCGAAGGAACTAGTTTTCGCATGAGTATGATGGTCCAAGTAACGGGACTGTTCCTAGTGAGGAGGGTAGTAAGGTGTTCTGACGCAGGAACACAGAGTATGCGCTATTCAGTGTTCTTCCACAAACCGTATCGTTTTAGAAATTAAAGCTTTTTAACTCTGTCGTGCTCAAACAATATTGATATTAAAGCAGAGTGAAGAATGTTGGGAAAACCGCTACTGTCCTCTTTACGTATAAATGTCTGAGTTTGGTCGTTTATTATTAAAGGATAGATGTTTATGCTAAGCTTCTGGTGACGAAAACATCAACTTCTCTTGATTCTCCATTATCGTATATTCTGAGAATAAATTCTTCTCCATTTTGTAAACGATGCTCATCTGGAGAGGTATTTTGTTCTGACAGTCTGATTGAACACTTCATCCTCAATTATTACGCCCTTAATGTAAGATTCTGTGTGTATGCATGCATGTATATATATACATATATATATATATATATATATGTAGGTGTGTGTGTGTGTGTGTAGTGAGATACCAGGTCGAACCGCCTCCAATGTACTGCTGTCACTTAGTTGGAAGCTTTCTCTCTGCCGATTCCAAGAGCCTAATAGAATGCATTCCTGAATTAATAAGACGACTGTATACGCAAGGTGTAAGCCAACCAGATCAGTAAACTAGGAATTTCTCTCCAAGGTCCATCTGGTTAGCAGGGCTACTGCATGGCAGCTTTTGTGATGACATGCTCAGCCTTCTCTCTCTAGTGGGAAATGTTCTACATATTCTCTTGGTTCCGCAATTTTGCAATACTGAGTTGAGTTGCGAACACTGTGCGAAGCCTACGACAAATTGTTTAAGAAATTTCTACGACTTAGCGGTACAGAATGTGTTTGTATTAGCAGCGTTGGCAGTCAGCTTTTCAACTAACACTGGCAAACGCTTGGCCTGTTTTTAAACAAAAAGCATATTCATGTCGTTCTCTATGACTTGCCTCTCGCAGTGCTTCAGCGTAAGCGGTCATGTCAGTCATCACGACCACCACGTGACGTCCGCATTGGTATGCAAAAAATTCCGCCGCCGTCAAAGCCATGCGTGGGGTTAGCACTCGCTCAATTGTCGGATCGGCTGCAGTGTTCAGATACATGCAAATATTCTGCATATCGCCTGAACTGAACCGCATTATGTAACGCGATATCCAGGTGCGGATCTATTATCTTGAAACCGGCTGGAAAAGTTTCAAAAGAATAGTTGCTAATTAGAGTTCCTAACGGCACTAGAACATTTTGAACGATCATCAATTGGTAACGAGGGTACTCTTTCTGCTGCAAAAATCCCTAAAATCACTTCATAGCGATTTAATACGACTTTGCTTAAATTGACGGGCGTATGTGGCGCAGTGGTCGGATGCGCCCTGCAACACACACGTGGAGTCGATCTCCGTGCCCATGGCCCACCAAGCCTCCCAGACCTCCGAGGGCGGCAAATTGGCACCAAACTTGTCTGGGAGAGTAGCAGAACTGGCTCGATACATCGGTAGGCCACTGCGAGTCATTGTAAAGGACAGATATGCATTCAGTCGCCTCCAACAATACTTAATGAAGTCGAATGCATGCGCGTCCCTCAGGGATTGATCAAAGCCGAGAGCTTTATGCTTTACATATTATCCTTTGTTCAAATTAGGTGCACGCTTCTTTGGTAACACTTTCAAAACAGTTGTGCTCACCTCTTTCCTCGAACTCCTGAACAAAAAGTCTTGCTGTCTCTATATTAATTCCCATAGCGGCGAAAATGACAGCGAACTCGTGTGATTCACCTTTCTCGTACAATCCTAAATCACCATTTGTTTTCAGGAAAAAATATAGCCGTTGTCGAAAAAGCAAGGCGCATAAGTGGTAGCGTTGACGGGTGATTGCTGATGGCAAAAAGATCGATAGAACTAGCTGAGAGACATGCAAAGCGAAGGACCCGGATGGTGTGGTGGTGAAGTGCGCTGCTCCCCGGTAAGGACAACAGCGCGTGTTCGTTCCCCACTGCATACACCTGTGGTCCGGAGCTTTGCAAATATCTCAGCATCTCATACGAGTTATATTTCGCAACATAACATGCCATTAGGAAGAAAAAGGCAGTAAATAAAAGAGTTAAGATAAGTGGTAGCGTTGAAATATTTGCAGGAGGTATATTTAATGGTCTTATGTATGCGAAATCATCTTTATGAAATCCAATAGTTTTCCGATGGGACGTAGACAAGCATATGACTACTATTAGTAAAAGTATCTATAAAAATCTGCACTTCTTAGAATTCCTAATAAAGTTATATCACTGTTTCCAGGATCGACTTTCTATTAACCTCGGCATTGGAATATGAATGCATCGTTTTCTTGCTCAGCAATCGCGAGGTTGTTATACAGCATACATTTACTTCCATAGAAAAACAGTACAATACAACAGTAGCTGACGTTTCGGCAGTATCGTCTTCTTCAGAGCCTGGAAGGGTATACTGATATACAATTTATTAGGCCAAACGCGTCAACAACACTTACAAAAAGGCGAAATACTCTATGGCAATTACATGATCAATAGCTTCTCGAAACACTCACCACTTTTTTCGTAACTTCCAATGAGGAAGGTTAGAATAGCTGATTATAGTCGCATATGGTTGATGACTGCGCCACCCCACATCAGAAATTGATTCGAAGATGCCAGGTCGCGTGTGACCTCTGGGTATTACTCCCTGCTATTTATTGAGGGGTTCTAGGAATTTATCAAAAAACCTCAAGAAGTTTGCACGTTGATGTTCTACTTTTGCGGAGCGAGGATATTGACTTCAAAATCGTCTCCGCTGTGCTTTTGTATCCTATGCGTGTCTAGTGGAGTACTTTGTCTTGCTTTTAGTTTGCCATCTAGGTATTCTTTTATACGGTTACACAAGGGTCTGCCCGTTTCGCCAATATATTCAAAGGCAAATCACGCACTTCGTTGTTCCACATAGACGGTCATACAAGCGCTTACGAACTAACTGACGACAAAGAGCATCCGGTGGTATTTCAGCTATCGCTACCGATTCCTCTAGACCTGCTCTTCTGCTCTTTTTAGGCATGGTTTTGTAGCTACGCTTGCTTCATCGCCAATAAAGGGCAACATAAACTGGATCTTCTTTTGGTCAAGTGTTTGGTTTTGGTGCATCGCTCTCCTTCTAAACTTATCCCGTAGAGCTACTATTTCGTACCCATTGGAGATCGCTATTTGCCGAGCCAAGTCGCGCGATTCTTCCTTTAGTTCCCTGGTTGTGCACACAGAGGTGGCTGTTCGAAACATGTTTCTCACAAGCGTACTCTTTGCGTGTGAAGAGTGGGAAGAGAGGAAATAAACCAGGATGTTTTTGTCACTTGGTTTTCGGTACATTCGATTCCAAGCTCTGAAGAAGGCGATACTGCTGAAACGTCAGCTACTGTTGTATTGTACTGCGTTTTTCTATGGAAGTAAATGTGTGCTGTATAACAAAGTTGTATCATTGTATTGACTCGCGTCGTATAGAGATTACGAGGCCTACAAAATTTTCACATGTAGTGTTTTTTTCTACCGCATCTCTGTTTAAATATCTTCTATTGTCTGATATCTCGCATGGAGCAGAAGTGTGTTGCACAATAGTTCGGTCATTAACTTAATTCGTCCCATCGGTCTTTGGTTATGGCGCTTTCCTCTCCTCTTCGGTAGACAGATTAGCACCAAAATTGTCTGCGGGGTTGAAAACACTAGCTTGCCGCCACATCGGTATGCTACCACAAGTCATTGTGTAGGTCACATATGCATTCGATCAAGTGTAGGAGGCTAAATAAAGGCAAATGCATTGCACATCCCTTAAGGAATGAACAACGATGAAAGCTTTCATCTTTGCCCTTTACGGAGTAAAGAGTAACCACCCTGATACAAAGAAAAGGTATTAAGAGTGGATTAATGAATGGCTGCACATATTGTTTCCTGCTTCTCTCGAATTATTGACAATATTGACTTTCTGAACAAGATAGACAGGCTGAACTGCTCAATAAGATCATTATTGTTTAACTTAAAGGAGTACTGTTCTTTTTCTGTGAATTTGATTTGTAAAGGATCTTTGCGAACGTAGACTGTGTTGAACGAATCTTCAAAAGAGCTGACATATTTATTTATATGATCTTATAAACTGATTTTCTTAAGCTAATGCGAGGTTGATACAGGTCTTCGTTGTCGTTGTCGTTGTTGTTGGTCGATGGTTGACGTTTCGGCGACTTCGCCTTCCTCAGAGCCGTGATGTTACGTGTGGGATGTCCTTCACAAAAGTGTTGTCCAAATGACCCAACACAGTTTCTCTCATAACCCAGCTGTTTCTATTAGAGTATCTAGATTATTAGCAAGATGGAAATGAGTACTTTGCCACACTGTCACCGCCTTAAAACTTACACAATGTTTCCTTTCAATGAGGCACTCAACTACCTCGGTGAGATGAAGTTCTTCCTCTTCACAATGCCCTCTTTTCTCTAAAGCGGCCTTGTGGGAAGACGTAACTACAGAGGTCCTGTTGTAGAAATACTTCATTATGGTATAGAGATATTCTTCTTTTCCTTCTTTTAAAAACTCTTCCTGGGTCTGGCTAAATCCTAAGCAGTGCACGCCACATGTTACTTAAATGACTGTGCTTGATGATTCCTTATTGACTTGGCAGCATATAAGACATCAAAACAACCCGCTAGACACCGCGTGTTATAGACTAGTTAAAATGGTTTTGAAATTGAAGCTGGTGAAAATGATATTTCTGACTTTTAAAGCTCCACTCAACGGTTCTTGGTGATGATTAGGGTCTCGAAATGCTTCGCAATTTGATGAGGTATTATATGAATTTCCCGTAATTCATTCCGACATTGATGGCGAGTGGTAGTCTAACTCCGCGTACTCTGTAAAACAACTGCGCCTGCAAGTACAGTTGTTTGACTTTAGTTACGAACATGTCGGCCCACGTGAAGATGGTCGTACTAGAAGACGATTTCTAGCCCGCAATATTCTTGACGTGGTTGAAGTGTCACCACCCCACGTCTCTACTGCATAATAGATCACTGAGAAGGCTGTCGAATCGAAAATATGGGCGCGAATGTTTGGGCTCTTCAGCTGGTTGATGGTTTTTTCGGTAGGCCAGAATGCGGCAAAAGCTTTCTCTTTCTTCTGTACCATTCTTTCTCTATGTTGGTCTCCATGTTCATTGAACACCCAAGATACGTACGAGGTGGTCTATGTAATCAAAGAACGATCCAGTTTGATCTGTTCGCCTTCGCGCCATGGTTTTTCATGAACCGCATCTTCTACAGATTTATGCATAGTACTGGTCCACTTTTTGGCCGACGAGCTCTGAAAGGATCGAATTGGTTTTGACACTGTCAAGCGCTTATTCTTAGTCAACAAAAGTTAGGGTTAAAGGCAGGTGGTATTCTCAACAAACTTCGATGAATCTGGATACGGTTTGGATGTAGTCCACACAGCAGAATCTCTTTTGAAATTCTGCTTCTTAAACTGGTCCGTGGTCTTCGATATGCGCAAAAGCATAATCTTCGTGAATAGCTTGTAGAGTACACTCGACATGCACACTGGACGATAGTTACGAAGATCTCTTCGGCCACTCTTTTTGCGTATTATTACTGTGCGCGACCTCCTCCACTGGTCTCAAATTTTCTCTTTCTGAAGGTAAGATGTCATATAGGTTGACAGAGGTACATGTGATTTGTAGCGTCCACCTCTAAGGAAATTGGCAGTGATATTATCGATTCCTGGAGCTGTGCCTCTCTACGTGCTTTTTATCGTAACTCGAACCTCATAGGTTAAAATCCTGGCTGGTTTTCTTTGCAGCAAGGATTTTGGAGTCCTAGACGAAGATTGTGCAACGTGGAAGATTGGTATAGAACTCTTCTATCAATTTCATGTCATAGCGTGATGTAATGATAGTCTCATCTTCGTTCATTGGGAAGGACGGCGAAGCATTATAGTCGCAAATATCCCAACGGCAGTTCTTGTTCTTCAGATTAGATCGTTTTTGTGCTGCTTCTAATAACTTTCCTACCTGTACCGATGTAAATCCTCCTGCAAAGATCAAAGAATTTATTATCAGACGCGTTAGTTCTGTCAGAGTAGGATAGAGCTTCACTTTCCTTCTCCTCACAAGTAACTCCTTAAAGATAATGGAGATCCGATCTGATCTTCTTGCTCGAGGTACTAGAGCGAATTCGGCACAACTTATAAGTTCTTCGACAAACAGCTCGTGGCCTACACTAACAATAACTTCCAAAAATACAATCTTATGTGAAGCTTTCCTGTAAACTAATCCTGCGACCGATAGAACCGATAGAGATGTTAAGTTATGGTGCCCTCCATTTTGTCTATCACACATAAGTGAGAGTATTTTTAGAGCGGCGATTATCGTTTATGACTTCCATAATATACCAATCGTGTGCAACCTCATGCTCATCGTTGAGCATTTTTAACACATTACATTTTCAATAACATAGTTCTTCTGACATTCATATTGAGGTTGGAATCATTAATGATAGATAGCGTTATAATGTGGTCTAGTCTTTAAATCGTCTGCAGATTCATAGAGTTCCTTAGGTTTCAGTTTTATTGGAAATGGCTGTGGAAGCGGAATCAAGCATAAATGCCCATATTTTTGTGACGTAGCATTCATAGGGAGATGTTAAAACGAATGGATATTGACGATAACCGTCACATTTCTGAGCTCATGCGAAATTCCGCTGAGTCCTCCATTGTCTCCGATTAACAAAAACAACTATATAAAGCGATATTCAAAACAGTCGAGTAACTGCACTAGTAAGGTAGAAGTTCGAAACTTGCTGTCATCTTAAAAATATATTCAGTTAATTTATATATGTGCTAATCTAGAAGGTATCTTTAAAAAACTGTACTGGTTTGAACTGAACCCTCCAGAGTGTCATGATTTAGCTGAAGCAAATGAAACTTACCAGCTTGACGAACTATTTGAGCTGCGATCTCGTTATGAGGAAGGCCAGATCCCGAAAATATTGCGATTTTCTGAAGAAAAAAATTGAATTGATCCTGAGTTAGAGAGGCTGCTACGCCGTGCCTTTTTCAATGGAGAAGCAACGTCTCACGCATTTCGTGTTTAAAAGCCAGGGGCTCAAATTCGAGAATTTCATATCAACTACTGGCTGCATCGTTCTACATCGACTTTATGAACTTTTTCTTTCAATGTTGAGAATTATGAGGAGTCTAGTAATTTAGTTTCCTAGGTAGGTGCTGCTAAAAATGTAGATGTTCTGTCTGATTGGCTACAAGGAAGTTTGCACCTCTACACCAAAGAGCAGCTGAACCACTTAAAAGTTAGCATTCGGAATTTAGTACTTGAATTTTCGACACAGATAAATTGTTCAACCACTTTTACAGAACTTCTTTATCTCTTATAAATGATTTAGTTGATGACAGCTCTATGCAATATCAACAGTTGTAATAACATATACTGTAATATTTCCTCAGTAGGTTTTCGCAATTCCAGGAGTCGGATATTTCTAGTGGAAAACCGTAATAAAAGCAAACTATTTGTTCGTGTATTAAACTAGTTACGATGCGACAAATCTCCTTGTAATCTATGAGGTTTGGCGAATGTCTACAGTGACGACATAAGGAAGGATCACCTGGGCTGCATTGGGACCAATGCAGTTGTTGTTTTCGATTTTACTAACCAAAGGGAACGTTTCCTACAAAGATTTAAATCACTTTTCCGATTCTGAAAGAATAAGACGTGTGGTTGGCTTGGGACAGAGTAAAACCAGAGACCACTCGTGAATTGTAGTGTATGTCTAGCTACTGAGCTCTTTGGGCTCAACTATACATAATAGCTTTAACAAAAAAAAAAGAATGAAACTACGCAATTTTGAGGTGTGCAACAATTGTGTTTATGTACCTGCCCTTTAGCTATGGTGCTCATCACATCGATGGTTGATATCCCAGTCTCGATCGTTCGATCCGGATAAACGCGCATATACGGATTTACCGCCATTCCATTTACATCCATGAAGTCTTCTGCGCAAATATGCGGTCCCTAGTAAATAGAACCTGAGGGTGCACTGTTGAATCAGGACGAAATTACAATTATTCGTTAAGCCTAGAAAGTAATTTCATGTTTAATACCATAGAAAAGCTATAGATCACTGAGTAGTGTTCTCCAAAAAGCTACGAGGGTCCAGTTTTGGTCTCGATCAAATTTTAGAGAAAAACCTTATCGATAGGTTTCCCGGATCCATTAAACGTCCGTCCGAGTATATCCTCACTAACAGGCATTCGTAACACATCACCAGTGAACTCACAAACAGTGTGCTTCACGTCAATGCCTACTGTACCCTCGTAAACCTAGGAAAAATAGAGAAATTAGTGAACGGTAAACATAAAATATGGCTTGTTAACTCCTTTAACGCATTTGAATCACACTGAAACCGCCTTCGAAGCGTACGCATTGTGGTCTTAATGCGGTGAGTTGTTGCCGTGCAAAACTGCGTAGCAGCCACCGTATTCTTCAGAACACCGTGCCTTTATTGGAATGATGCGCTTATTGTTTCTTCCGGCTTTTTACAAAAAAGCATTTTCGCTTTACTGAAGAAAACCTCTTTTGTGTAAGCAGATCTTTGAACAGAAACGTTTTCATTTTTACTGCACCTATGGTGTGGTGAAGGAAAAAAAAGGAGATTTCGGACATCATATCACCAGTGCTACAGAAAGCACCAAAAAAAAATCAAAACGAAAGAAATAAAATGGACATACAAAAACCACAGTTAAGCAAATTTATCTTGATTTTTTTACAAACCGTAGAGAATGAATTGCTGTATTTTCTAACTCATCGTTTCTGACTAATTGTTGAGTGCTATTGAAGGCCCAAATGAGTAAGAGTAAGCTATGTTTGCCGTTTTTAGATGAAAATGGAGCAACACAAATAATTTTCTCATTGAGTTGAGCTTTGGAACTAGACGTACCAGTCGATTATAAAATTTGTATGAGTTTATAGACATATTTTCGAATACAAATAACCATTTTGATGCTCCCATTTACTTCATACTTGATTCTTGAAACACCCGTCCTCACTGGTCCAACATCCGAAGTCAGCCTGGCCATAGTCTGCCCCAAGTTTTCACCACCACAGGCAGTCGCAGCCCTTGTTAAGCAGTGGGAGATTTGCCACCATGCGACTTTGATACCAGGAAGGTGGTGGATCCTGGTAGTGGTACTGGGAAGATGGTGAATCCCGGTATTGGTTAACTCTTAGCTAGGCTTCTTAGTGGCAACGCCGAACTCCTTCTCGGCTTAAGAGACCCTGCCAGGGAATGAATTGCCCGCTGTACAACGCAGCCCGACACCTAGGAACACCACCCAGCCACGATGAGGTGGTAAACCGTTGAGAGGGATGTTCCCATTTAAAAATGTTTATTATTTTACATCTAGCAGTTATAAAACTGCCTCAAGAATGTTGTAACTTCTATTTATTGCCTATTATTTTTTTTTCATGGTAGAGTACAATTTGAAATAGAACCGTAAAGAAGCTGAGAAATAAGTAAAACTCGAAGCCTCAGGTGGACAACCTCATTCTCGTCGACGCATGATTGATGACAGCACCGGTAGAGTAAGAGCATAGGTGAGAGAAAGGCAAAGCAATGACCTCAGTTAGTGTGGCGGATAGCAAGCGAGCCCCATCTCTCCGATACCTGAGTTTTGCTCAGATCTCAGCATCTTTACGGCTGTTTCAAATATTCTGCGAAAAGACATCTCAAGTGCGATACACAAACAAATGACGGAACGTGATGTTACTGAGCCTTGATCCTTTAGTCTTTTCCCGGTGACTATAGACGAAAAATCTTCTGACACAATTCTTGTCCTTCAATCTAGCAGGACCTACTGCTTAACACTATTATGAGAGTTCCCAGGATCGACTTTCTATTAACCTCGGCATTTGAATATGAATGCGTCGTTTTCTTGCTCAACAATCGCGAGGTTTCTAAACAGCATACGTTTACTTCCATAGAATAACACAATAAAATACAACAATAGCTGACGTTTCGGCAGTGTCGCCTTCTTCAGAGCCTGGAAGGGTATACTGATATACAATCTACTAGGCCAAGCGTTTCCATGACACTTACAAAACAATTACATAATCAACAGCTTCTCGAAAAACCCCCCGCTTTTTTCGTGACTTCCAATGAGGAAGTTTAGAACAGCTGATTATAGTCGCATGTGGTTGACGACTGCACCATCCCACATCACAAATCGATGCGAACGTACGGGATCAAGTCGCGTATGACCTCCGGGCATTCGTCCCTGCTATTCATTGTAGGGTTTTTGGCATTGATCCAAAAAGCCTCAAGGAGTTTTCGCGCTGGTGTTTTGGACTCCTGTGCAAGGATATTGACTTTACTTCAAAATCGTTTCCGCTATGCTTTTGTATCCTGTGCGTGCCTAGTGTTCATACCTAAGATAGAAGCCTCTGTTCTCAATCTCCGGCCACTACTCTGCTGCAAATATGTAGATGATTCGAAAGACCGACTTTCTATGAACCTCGGCATAAATAGTTGATATATTTATTTATGAGATCTTATAAACTGA